GCCGGAGATGATTGGAAGAATAGAAAGATTAGATACGGAGAACAATGGGATGCACAGAATGAGTGGATGTGGTCAGTTTAACTGCTGGGCAGAGGAAGCAGTGTTGGTGCTCTCAAGCTGCATGAGTCACATGGAGATCCTCGATTGTCGTACTTGCGCGTATGCTAGTACAGCTCCTGTGTGATGTGTACTCTCATTTAACGACGTATGTGAAGTGGCAAGACTCGTTCTCGTTACTGAAGTCTCCATCCATCATTATTCACTGTCCTCCCGCCTGCTTCTTATGTTGCTCTACATGTTCATTCATCGTCACTTTACACCGTCATGCACTCGCCGTCCCGCGCTACTCATCCAGGCTCAGAACAACATTATCTGACATCTTTGGAAACTGCATATCAAGTAGATCACCACGTCGTTGTCCTCCGTCTAGGTGTCTGTACTACCCATGCTAGTGGTGGAGCTCCAGAACTTGTTGCAATGTTGCAACACTTGCCTATTTCTCACTTGTCCGTACAGAAGAGCTGTCGCGTGAGATATGAGGATGCCGATTTATATCTGTGTGGGGTAGTCGTTCCCGCTCCATCCGGACTGAAATTTGACGGCATCGTTTTTCACGGAGATTTCGCCGGAGATGATTGGAAGAATAGAAAGATTAGATACGGAGAACAATGGGATGCACAGAATGAGTGGATGTGGTCAGTTTAACTGCTGGGCAGAGGAAGCAGTGTTGGTGCTCTCAAGCTGCATGAGTCACATGGAGATCCTCGATTGTCGTACTTGCGCGTATGCTAGTACAGCTCCTGTGTGATGTGTACTCTCATTTAACGACGTATGTGAAGTGGCAAGACTCGTTCTCGTTACTGAAGTCTCCATCCATCATTATTCACTGTCCTCCCGCCTGCTTCTTATGTTGCTCTACATGTTCATTCATCGTCACTTTACACCGTCATGCACTCGCCGTCCCGCGCTACTCATCCAGGCTCAGAACAACATTATCTGACATCTTTGGAAACTGCATATCAAGTAGATCACCACGTCGTTGTCCTCCGTCTAGGTGTCTGTACTACCCATGCTAGTAGTGGAGCTCCAGAACTTGTTGCAATGTTGCAACACTTGCCTATTTCTCACTTGTCCGTACAGAAGAGCTGTCGCGTGAGATATGAGGATGCCGATTTATGACTGTGGGGTAGTCGTTCCCGCTCCATCCGGACTGAAATTTGACGGCATCGTTTTTCACGGAGATTTCGCCGGAGATGATTGGAAGAATAGAAAGATTAGATACGGAGAACAATGGGATGCACAGAATGAGTGGATGTGGTCAGTTTAACTGCTGGGCAGAGGAAGCAGTGTTGGTGCTCTCAAGCTGCATGAGTCACATGGAGATCCTCGATGTCGTACTTGCGCGTATGCTAGTACAGCTCCTGTGTGATGTGTACTCTCATTTAACGACGTATGTGAAGTGGCAAGACTCGTTCTCGTTACTGAAGTCTCCATCCATCATTATTCACTGTCCTCCCGCCTGCTTCTTATGTTGCTCTACATGTTCATTCATCGTCACTTTACACCGTCATGCACTCGCCGTCCCGCGCTACTCATCCAGGCTCAGAACAACATTATCTGACATCTTTGGAAACTGCATATCAAGTAGATCACCACGTCGTTGTCCTCCGTCTAGGTGTCTGTACTACCCATGCTAGTAGTGGAGCTCCAGAACTTGTTGCAATGTTGCAACACTTGCCTATTTCTCACTTGCCCGTACATAAGAGCTATCGCGTGAGATATGAGGATGCCGATTTATGACTGTGTTGGGTAGTCGTTCCCGCTCCATCCGGACTGAAATTGACGGCATCGTTTTTCACGGAGATTTCGCCGGAGGTGATTGGAAGAATAGAAAGATTAGATATGGAGAACATTGGGATGCACAGAATATGTGGATGTGGTCAGTTTAACTGCTGGGAAGAGGAAGCAGTGTTGGTGCTCTCAAGCTGCATGAGTCACATGGAGATCCTCGATGTCGTACTTGCGCGTATGCTAGTACAGCTCCTGTGTGATGTGTACTCTCATTTAACGACGTATGTGAAGTGGCAAGACTCGTTCTCGTTACTGAAGTCTCCATCCATCATTATTCACTGTCCTCCCGCCTGCTTCTTATGTTGCTCTACATGTTCTTTCAACGTCACTTTACACCGTCATGTACTCGCCGTCCCGCGCTACTCATCCAGGCTCAGAACAACATTATCTGAAATCTTTGGAAACTGCATATCAAGCAGATCACCACGTCGTTGTCCTCCGTCTAGGTGTCCGTACTACCCATGCTAGTATTGGAGCTCCAGAACTTGTTGCAATGTTGCAACACTTGCCCATTTCTCACTTGTCCGTACAGAAGAGCTGGCACGTGAGATATGAGGATGCCGGCTTATAACTATGCGGGATAGGCGTTCCTGCTTTATCTGGACTGCAACTTGACGGCATCATTTTCACGAAAATTGCGCCGGAGATGATCGGATGAATGCAAATATTAGACAGGCAGAATGTTGAATGTTAGGTTATTCATAATATCGTGGAATTTCAAATGGCAGAGCTTACCGTTAATATATTAGCAAGTGCTTCACTTGCCAGTGGATGCACCACGAATGAAGTAAAAAATTATAAGGGACTTATCATGGTCTGCAGAAGTCCACCGCAAATTACCTCCGCTCCAATCATTTATATAGACAGCAAAGTCGTTGTATACATATGAGCAATAGAAAGAAGCCTAGATAATGCTATTTATATAAGAGTATATTGCAAATGTGTAGCGACCGAAAAAAATTATGTTCGGTCACCATCTTGTATTTATAACGGATTCGACGATAAGCTAGCGATCAGCAAATGTTACATAATTAAGTGTACAATTACGCCAAGCCACTATGCCCCGACTACTACAAGTGTGATAGGCAACTACGTCACACTTAATTCAAGATCAAGTTCACAGGCAAGATAGCACAAGAAAGGAGGTTTAAAATAATCGGAATGGGAGATCAGAAATACTTTACGGCTCCGCATGCGGAGTGCATTTTTGGCATCTCAAATAGATAGCTTGTACAGAATCAATGGAATTGTAGGCGTTTGATGGACAAGCATCTTTGAGTGATTAGAACACTTAAGCTTATTGAAGGAGTAGTTTACAACACATACAACAAATTAGATTTTGATGTAGCTTGTCGCACCCAGATATTATAGGAGGCACCTTACACGGCAGCTCATAGAGTAGAGTCGGCAGAATCTCACTTAATAGCAATGTAAAAGCGGTAAAACTATAAATGTCATTGCAAAAATTAAAATACGGCAAGTATTTATTTCCTTGGCCTTCCGCGGGTCTAGTGGCGATAACAGGCCAACACACTCCATCGATATTATTTTTTTTGAGCGTGTGCTCGCTTATACGAAAAATACCAAAAGTGCTCGCAATCGCAGTTTTGCAAGCAAAAAATGCTTAAGAAATTGACCTTAGGATTACGTGCGTAAAATATTCATATGTCTAGCAAACTCGCTTCATCGGACCAGGACTTGTCGATGTAGTCTTTTTTAAAATGCGTGAATAAATCTATTATAAATATTAAAGCAATGTATGCAGGAAATACTATTTCGACCAACACGTCGTTGCTCAAGCTAGTAATAATTTACGATTGGTAAAATTAAAGAGCATTTGCTTATGCAGCTGTATTAAGAAATGTGATACTCATGATGCAATCATCCGCTTTACATTAGTGGATGCCGTTGTTTGCACTTAATCTTATGCTAAACCGTCAGTCGCGTCAATTTCATTAATATATGGAGTGCTTTGCTCCAAATCATGTCAAGTGCATCATTATCGTAATTCCTTCGCTAGGCGTGTTAAGCTTCATTGAAGATTATCATATTTAAGCATGACAAAGCGATGCCAGACATGCTTCAAAGAATTAACTTACCCTATTAACACTTTTTACAAGTTTTACGCGGTGAATGAAACCCCCTTATAGCATCACCATCACGGCATTGTAGATAATTTCTAATTAGCTGGTTTAAAAGATTGTGCTTTGCAGCCATAAATGATAAACAAACCCTAGCAAGACAACGCAAGCTGTTCATTTACGTTTCTAAATTATCTACGATGAACGCAGGACTGCAAACTGGCTCATTTCCAATATAAATATGGCCCATAGCATGTCACGACGCAGGTAGCACGTTTACTCTCTGTAGCATTGGCAAGCATTTCAGAACTAGAGGGACCAACATTTACCGGGGAAAGAGAGTTTGCGGTAAATGCTAGTTTTTTATCAAATAAAGTGTTACATCGCGTGTGGCTGAGCTCGTTACGCCAACTGGATTTAAAGTAAAACCACAGCGCTTATGTAGCGATCAAAAAGATCGATTTAAAGCGTTGATGAACGAAAACTTCAAACACACTTAGGCGCATCTGCAACGGGGCTCCCTTTGTTTGGGATGCCACGGAACTTTACGTTCACTAGTACGTGCAGAGGAAGTTAATGTTCTCAACAACTATGTTGAGTAAAGCGTAAAAAGAGATCTGTATTTATACATAGTTAAGCTATTGATGTAACTTTAATCTTCATCTCACTATATTAAACTACGTCGTCGTATGACGACAACCTGCTCACCGCTCATTGCGCGCGTCTAGCAGCGATGGTGGTAATCCATGATTGTTATGTCTTTTATCAAAGAATCTTTGAGCAGCGCATGAATATTACCCTACAAAGAGGATAACATTCCTTCAATTTGATTCATCTCGGATAGTATTAGTAGGGAATTGTCACGCTACACAATCTCCCTATTGACACCGTTTGTGTCAATATCATGTAATGGGCTACACCGTAAAATCCCCCCCTAATCAGCAATCACCCGTTGATGGAATTTACCTGATCGGTACAGGTTGACCACCGTTGGATCACTCTGGCAAAGGTAGCACTTGTTGATCGAATTCCACTCATTTGCGAATCCAATACATGGTGTCCAAATCCATGCGCGTTGCTACTATAGCAGCATCAAAGGCGGCTGCATGCATGCGTGCAGCCGAAGAGAGTGATTTTCAACCCTCAGCAGCAGGTGATCTATTGCCTACTGTTGTTCACAGTCCACGTTGTGAGGTAGCACGTGCGTCAAGTACATCCGCTGCGTCTTCAGCGGGTGCTGCGAATCGCAATGTAGATGAGCCTGGGATTAAGCTCTACTATTCGGGTGAGTTAAATGATCCATCCGACTTGAAGGCGACACCTCACGACTCCGAATCACCCGGGGCGGACACTACAAGAGCCAAGTTGACTGGCTCTGGTGAACGTGGCGGTATCATGTCCGAGATCTTCGGATCGAGCGATCGTTCTTACTAATCCTTGCCTCACGCAAGTCCTAGCAACTCTAGGACGCGTGAAGATAGGGGTGATGCACCTATACATCACCATGAGTGAATCAATTCGAGGGATTGGGGTGGCACTGGTTTCAGTGCTCATGCTGGCACCCAAGAGGCCAGGGACCAAAATATCCTGCGCCATTCTTCTCAAGTGGATCGATTTTTGATGCCCTCATCCAAAGAGTTAGATCGAGTGGCTTGCATGACCACCGAACGGGATCGAATAGCGTTATTTAACTGATGGAGGATCCGTCCTCCTAATTCTATCACGAAAACTATTAGTGCTGAGAAAAAATCTACACCGATGTGTGTTTCAAACATCGGTGGTACAACGGAAATCGTGGTCGAGACGGCAAGGCCTTGGTGCAAGGACGGAAAGCGTTCATACATAACATCGAGTGCATTGGCCGCGAAGCCTGGCTCGGTATATGTGATGCACTCGCATCAGGTTTAAGGAGCTTAACTCAGTCTTTGTACAATACACGTTGCACCGACTTTCAAAAGAGGCAAGATTACCCTGTCTCTCGTGGGTTGAAACCTGTCCAATTTGTATGGACAACTCGAACTGTGCCCCTAGGGAGGTCTACCTCCCTAATGTTCCCTACTCAAGAGCGCGCATCTCTTCTGAGATGGCTATAGGGATTGATACTTTGCAATCCCTGTACCCACGTTCGGAAAAATCGTTTGGAGACGGCCATTCTTCGAACGCAGCAGATGGGTCTCGTCATATTGCTCGACGAGACCCAGGAGATTAAGTATCAGCTGGCCACGAGGCTCCCAGCTGTCCCAGGCCGGTAGATAGACACGCCAGCGAACGAGGTAAATCGTCCGGGCGCCTATCACGTCGCGGTGGTTTAAAATAAGATCCACCAGAAAGCGTTGATAACCGTCGAAATCCATTGAATTAGGTGGTGGTGGCGGAACCACCTGATCCGGATTGAGGGTCGAATCAGATCGATGTTCAGAAGCTGAACCGTGTAACGGAACACTTACAAGATGACCTGTCCTATAAACGGACTCAACGTTAAGAGCTCCATGACCTTGTAAAGGATAACTACAATTACTCAGCGCACAATCGTTCGAACGATCCTGCCGCGTTTGCGTTTGCACAACTTGAGAAAGAACGTTCGATTCGTACTCTTCATGACGAGCTGGCTGCAGCTCGTCATTACATCGCTCATCTGCGTGAGCATATTGCTTCGCTCGTCGACCAGACTGGATCGTCGAATCGAGACCACTCGAAGGTAGTTTCGGTTATTGACCGCGCAGGTGTTTTTCGCATCTCGGAGCGGGCTCGTACTGATAGTATGGGCGGAGATGTCCAACGTTGAACGTAGGATGCATTCGCATTTTACAGGGCAGTTCAATCGTGTATGCGTTGCCCATTCGGCGCAACACACGAAATGGACCGATGTACTTGGGCAGTAATTTAATGCTGCCCACGTTTGTCACTGCGTGTTTCGGTAAGTTTACTTTAGACATTAAAACTAGGTCTCCTTCATCATTGAATAAAAGAACATTTGCTCATCTATGTTTGTCTTCGCTTCTCTTCTGTTTGTCTAGTGCGTCTGCAAAGGATTCTTGAACAAAGCGGACAACCGCTTCGCGAGTCAGCAGAAATTCCTCTGCTAATTCACCCTTGTCAACAGCAGTGCGCTTCGTGTGCACTGCTGAAAGAACGTTGATTTCGTCAGTGAGGGTGTCACCGTCCTTACTGTGGCAGTCGTTGGCGATTTTGAACCTACTAGCATCGTCGTCATCATCGTCATCGGTGTCTACGTGATCGACATTGGTATCCAACGCTTCGACACCGTTGTCGACGAGTGATAAGCAAGAACCAGATCGTATATGGTTCGAGCGAGTCCACCCCCCCCCCCTAAATTATAGTCACACTCTATGAAGGTGGTAAACTTGGATGGCGTAGACCATTCACGAAAACGGTGTATGCGAGGTTGACGCATGCACCGAGTTGGTGAGGGAGAATTCTGCCATCGGCAAGAAATCACTCCAGCTCGCAAGCGATTGGATGGTATTTGACGTACTCTCAAAGCATCTTTCCGAGGAAGCGGTTGATGCGTTCCGTCTGACCATCTAGTTCCGGATGGTTAGAAGCCGACATTTATAAACGCGTTTTAAGTGAATGGAGCTCGGATTGCCAGAACTCCGCTGTAAAGCGGGGGTCTAACCCGTGAAGTCGGAGGATATTATTAATGGATACACGAGCACAGCCCTGGGCAGTTAATGACTCCGGTACAGCAACAAGATGAACCATCTTGCTGAACCGATCAAAAAACACAAGAATACCAGTATTCTTGTGAACTTCTTTGGGAAACCCAAAGACGAAGTATATCGATACGGACTGCCAGCACTCTGCCAGAATCGGTAGAGGCTGCTAGAGCCCACGGGATGAAGGAGTAGGCTTCACCCGTTGGCAACTTTCGCAAGCGCGAATGTATTCGCGCACAATTTCGTACTGGCATGGCCAGTGTAGGTCAAGACTTACCGTGAGGTAAGTCTCTTTCCTAGCACGATGCCCACTTGTCGGGGCATCGTGATACTCATACATGATGCGCAATCGCAAATTATCATGATCGGGAACGACGACACGAGGCGTGGTGCCGTTGACTGCTGTACAGTACAGCAGTTTATCACGAACCGAATACCGTTCGGTTGAAGAGCGGTATTGAGACGACAAGCTTTTCAAATCTTGACTGCACGAATTGTATACGTAATCCATCAATCACACAAGAGACCCATCTTCTGCGTATGATGTCCGCACGTCGTCGAGCAGATTTGACGACGGAACACATACTGATAGTGTTGCCACAGTGGGATCACACTGTCCATACCTGTTGTGTTGCGCAGTTGGCGAAATTCGGGCCAACGCGAAAGAGCATCAGCGACGACATTAAGTTGCCTTAGTTTGTACTCGACGGAGAAATTGTACCTCGCGAAGAAAGACAGCCACCTCGCCATTCGTTGCAAGAGTTGAGGACTATTTACGGCCGTGCGTAATGACGCATGGTCGGTTTAAACGATGAAGGGCCTATCTCCAAAGAGACATACCCGAAACTTAGCCAGTGCATATTTTACGGCAAATAGTTTCTTGCTATGCACCGGGTAATTACGCTCAGCTGCTTGCAGCTGACGCGACTGATAACAGACGAAGCGCTCAACGCCGTCTGAGTCGTACTGCATTAACGCGCAGTCAATTGCAAATCGCTGGCGTCACAGACCACATAGAATGGTCTGTCCTATTCTGCAATCGCCAAAACAGGCGATTGTATCAAGCTTTTCTTGATACCTTTGAAGAGTGCTGACATTCAGCACTCCATGACCACTTCTCGTTTTTCTTGAGCAGACGAGAGAGATGTACGGTCATCTCGGCGTAGTTGCGCGAGTACTTGTGCAAGTACACCGCTAAGCCAAGAGGCTTTCGAATTCCCTTGACGTCGACTGGAACAGACCAGTCGCTAATCGCCTTGACCTTTTCCGGATCAGGGTATACACCGTTTTTACCCACGCCCAGCAAAGAAGTGGTATCTCGTTCGCTGCGAATATACACTTTCTTTAGGTTCGCGAACAACTTATGCTCTCCAATTAGTGTAAGAACCTTCCGGACGCGAATTGTATGAACCCCCATGTCTGTCATTCCATCCATAGTCCGGCTATGGACGAAGACATCGTCGAAGTCACTCATTGCGAAATCGCGCACCGATCGCAACAGATTTGTAACACATATGTCGAACGTTGCAGGGGCGTTACTTAGCCCTTGTGGCATCATTAGCCACTCCTAGAACATACCACTGGGGGTGCTCACTGCTGTGTAAGGAATTTCCCGTTCACGAATGAGGATCTGAAGGAATCCTTCCATCAAATCCATGGACGAAAAGATGGTACTTTTCCCATACCGTCTATGATGACGTCCCTTCTCATTATCGGCGCTTGAGCTGGTACCGTTGCAGCGTTCAATTTGTTGAACGCGTGCACTATGCGCCACCCTCCTGTGGCCTTTCGCATACAGATGGTCGGACAGCTGTGTGGGGATGATGACTACCTCACATGACTAGCCGCTAAGCGATCGGCAAAGAATTTTTCAATCGCTGTGACCTGTTTACGAGGCAGTGGCCACTGCTTCATTACACAGTACTTAAAACGGGTTTCAGTTCGATCTCATGCCAAGTGCCTTTGTCCTTAGGCAGCTTGCATGGCACGGATTCAGGAAAAATATCCCTGAATTCGACCACTTATTTACACAAGGATTTGTCTTCAAAGACTCCCAAGATTGAGGCGTGAATCTTTCAATCCAAGTCTTCTCATCGAGGACAATCTCGTCCATCGATGAGCTACTGAGAACTTGTTCGTTCTCAGCAAACACTTGTGCCGACCAGATATCGGCGGCGTACTCGTCCTCTGTGACGAGTACGCAGATCTGCTTGATCTTGTCACTACGCAGATCTCGCAAGAAACTTGTAGATTCTAGCTTTGGCAACTTGACCACCTCCAAAGCTGACTTCGGAGGCGTCACCAGATCAAGTTTATAAGCGCCTACACCTGATCCGTCATTCACGAAGACATTCACTGTCTCGGTGATTTCCTGGGAAAACACATCCGCGTGTGGTCGGGGAAAACACCCATAACATAACTCTCTCGAGAGTTATCACTTTCAGAAACGCTGGAACTTTCTTCCAATACGTTTACTGACTATGGGCGTACTATCACGGTCCCGTCCTCTTCGATCGACTCTCTTTCAGTCGAGCGGGCTTGCTTTACGAACGACTCTCTGATAGTCGATCTCGCTTCAACGTGTTGTCCATTTTAAACAGCACTACACTCTTTTCTTGGATGCACCCTTCTTGGTGCGCATCCGTATTCCAGTCCACTTGATCTCTTCAAATGGTGAACCTTAGGTGCAGTCTGTGTCTCGACACAGGTGCCAAAAGCTAGTTCCACGATGCAGTGAACTTCTGCACTGTGATC